CAAAGCTCATCACTAAGCTAAGGATCCTGGGACTAAACACCTCCCTCTGCAACTGGATCCTGGACTTACTGACGGGCCGCCCCCAAGTGGTAAGAGTAGGTAACAACACATCTGCCACACTGATCCTCAACACGGGGGCCCCTCAGGGGTGCGTGCTCAGTCCCCTCCTGTACTCCCTGTTCACCCATGACTGCATGGCCAGGCACGACTCCAACACCATCATTAAGTTTGCCGACGACACAACAGTGGTAGGCCTGATCACCGACAACGATGAGACAGCCTATAGGGAGGAGGTCAGAGACCTGGCCGTGTGGTGCCAGGACAACAACCTCTCCATCAATGTGACCAAGACAAAGGAGATGATTGTGGACTACAGGAAAAAAAAGAGGACTGAGCACGCCCCCATTCTCATCGACGGGGCTGTAGTGGAACAGGTTGAGAGCTTCAAGTTCCTTGGTGTCCACATCACCAACGAACTATCATGGTCCAAACACACCAAGACAGTCGTGAAGAGGGCACGACAAAGCCTATTCCCCCTCAGGAGACTGAAAAGATTTGGCATGGGTCCTCAGATCCTCAAAAAATTCTACAGCTGCACCATTGAGAGCATCCTGACTGGTTGCATCACCGCCTGGTATGGCAACTGCTTGGCCTCCGACCGCAAGGCACTACAGAGGGTAGTGCGTACGGCCCAATACATCACTGGGGCCAAGCTTCCTGCCATCCAGGACCTCTATACCAGGCGGTGTCAGAGGAAAGCCTCCAGCCACCCTAGTCATGGATAAGAGCGTCTGCTAAATGACGTAAATGTAAAATGTAAATGTAAATAAACTGTTCTCTCTGCTACCGCACGGCAAGCGGTACCGGAGTGCCAAGTCTAGGTCCAAAAGACTTCTCAACAGCTTCTACCCCCAAGCCATAAGACTCCTGAACAGCTAATCATGGCTACCCGGACTATTTGCACTGCCCCCCACCCCATCCTTTTACGCTGCTGCTACTCTGTTAATTATTTATGCATAGTCACTTTAACTCTGCCCACATGTACATATTACTTCAACTACCTCAACTAGCCGGTGCCCCCGCACATTGACTCTGCACCGGTACCCCCCTGTATATATAGCCTCCCTACTGTTATTTTATTTTGCTTCTGCTCTTTTTTTCTCAACACTTTTTTTGTTGTTGTTTTATTTTTACTTTTTTGTTAAAAATAAATGCACTGTTGGTTAAGGGCTGTAAGTAAGCATTTCACTGCAATGTCTGCACCTGTTGTATTCGGCGCATGTGGCCAATAAAATTTGATTTGATTTGATTTGTAAACATCATTCTTTGGGAATGCTTTTCTGCAAAGGGGACAGGACGACTGCACCGTATTGAGGGGAGGATGGATGGGGCCATGTATCGCGAGATCTTGGCCAACAACCTCCTTCCCTCAGTAAGAGCATTGAAGATGGGTCGTGGCTGGGTCTTCCAGCATGACAACGACCTGAAACACACAGCCAGGGCAACTAAGGAGTGGCTCCGTAAGAAGCATCTCAAGGTCCTGCAGTGGCCTAGCCAGTCTCTAGACCTGAACCCAATAGAACATATTTGGAGGGAGCTGAAAGTCCGTATTGCCCAGCGACAGCCCCGAAACCTGAAGGATCTGGAGAAGGTCTGTATGGAGGAGTGGGCCAAAATCCCTCCTGCAGTGTGTGCAAACCTGGTCAAGACCTACAGGAAACGTATGATCTCTGTAATTGCAAACAAAGGTTTCTGTACCAAATATTAAGTTCTGCTTTTCTGATGTATCAAATACTTATGTCATGCAATAAAATGCAAAATAATTACTTAAAAATCATACAATGTTATTTTCTGGATTTTTGTTTTAGATTCCGTCTCTCACAGTTGAAGTGTACCTATGATAAAAATTACAGACCTCTACATGTAGGAAAACCTGCAAAATCGGCAGTGTATCAAATACTTGTTCTCCCCACTGTATATATATATATATATATATATATATATATATATATATATATACAGTGGGGGAAAAAAGTATTTAGTCAGCCACCAATTGTGCAAGTTCTCCCACTTAAGAATATGAGAGAGGCCTGTAATTTTCATCATAGGTACACGTCAACTATGACAGACAAAATGAGAAAAGAAAATCCAGAAAATCACATTGTAGGATTTTTAATGAATTTATTTGCAAATTATGGTGGAAAATAAGTATTTGGTCAATAACAAAAGTTTCTCAATACTTTGTTATATACCCTTTGTTGGCAATGACACAGGTCAAACGTTTTCTGTAAGTCTTCACAAGGTTTTCACACACTGTTGCTGGTATTTTGGCCCTTTCCTCCATGCAGATCTCCTCTAGAGCAGTGATGTTTTGGGGCTGTCGCTGGGCAACACAGACTTTCAACTCCCTCCAAAGATTTTCTATGGGGTTGAGATCTGGAGACTGGCTAGGCCATTCCAGGACCTTGAAATGCTTCTTACGAAGCCACTCCTTCGTTGCCCGGGCGGTGTGTTTGGGATCATTGTCATGCTGAAAGACCCAGCCACGTTTCATCTTCAATGCCCTTGCTGATGGAAGGAGGTTTTCACTCAAAATCTCACGATACATGGCCCCATTCATTCTTTCCTTTACACGGATCAGTCGTCCTGGTCCCTTTGCAGAAAAAACAGCCCCAAAGCATGATGTTTCCACCCCCATGCTTCACAGTAGGTATGGTGTTCTTTGGATGCAACTCAGCATTCTTTGTCCTCCAAACACGACGAGTTGAGTTTTTACCAAAAAGTTATATTTTGGTTTCATATGACAATATGACATTCTCCCAATCCTCTTCTGGATCATCCAAATGCACTCTAGCAAACTTCAGACAGGCCTGGACATGTACTGGCTTAAGCAGGGGGACACGTCTCCACTGCAGGATTTGAGTCCCTGGCGGCGTAGTGTGTTACTGATGGTAGGCTTTGTTACTTTGGTCCCAGCTCGCTGCAGGTCATTCACTAGGTCCCCCCGTGTGGTTCTGGGATTTTTGCTCACCGTTCTTGTGATCATTTTGACCCCACGGGGTGAGATCTTGCGTGGAGCCCCAGATCGAGGGAGATTATCAGTGGTCTTGTATGTCTTCCATTTCCTAATAATTGCTCCCACAGTTGATTTCTTCAAACCAAGCTGCTTACCTATTGCAGATTCAGTCTTCCCAGCCTGGTGCAGGTCTACAATTTTGTTTCTGGTGTCCTTTGACAGCTCTTTGGTCTTGGCCATAGTGGAGTTTGGAGTGTGACTGTTTGAGGTTGTGGACAGGTGTCTTTTATACTGATAACAAGTTCAAACAGGTGCCATTAATACAGGTAACGAGTGGAGGACAGAGGAGCCTCTTAAAGAAGAAGTTACAGGTCTGTGAGAGCCAGAAATCTTGCTTGTTTGTAGGTGACCAAATACTTATTTTCCACCATAATTTGCAAATAAATTCATTAGAAATCCTACAATGTGATTTTCTGGATTTTTTTTTCTCAATTTGTCTGTCATAGTTGACGTGTACCTATGATGAAAATTACAGGCCTCTCTCATCTTTTTAAGTGGGAGAACTTGCACAATTGGTGGCTGACTAAATACTTTTTTTCCCCACTGTATACATACACATATATATACACATATATATATATATATATATATATATATATATATATATATATATACACACATATATATATAGCAATCAACATTTTTTTTATCTCAAATCAATAATATGAATAATATGCAACCATTTAAACAACTGCATAAGCATGAGAAGATAAAAAGTATTTGACTTACCAGTCCAAATTATTATTATTTTTCTTCCAAAAACATGCATTGAGCGTTTGAGTCCACACTGGAATTACTGAGTCTTCATCAACTTCTTTGTAACTTTCCCAATCGATTTCTGCAATAATCTCGTTCAAATCTCGTTAAAGCTGTCATCAAGGCAAAGGGTGACAGAATCTCAAATATAACCTATATTTTGATTTGTTTCGCACTTTTTTGGTTATTACATGATTCCATATGTGTTATTTCATAGTTTTGATGTCTTCACTATTATTATACAATGTAGAAAATAGTAAAAATAAAGAAAAACTCTTGAATGAGTAGGTGTGTCCAAACTGTTGACTGGTAGTGTGTGTTAATATGGGGCAATATTTAGCACTTCTGGGATACTTGATTGTTTTTAATGCATTACTGGGAAGCCTATGTTATTTATATTGGAGCTACTAGGGCACACAGCCTCAGTTCTACCGTATAACTCTGGTTCACAGGGACATGATTACTGCATACGGTAGCTGTAGGATCAGCAGAGGTATTCAGGGCAGTTAGGGTGACATACATTAAGTTACTTACATTGCGTCTGCCAAACACCCCTGGCAGTGGTCTAAGGCACTGCATCGCAGTGCTAGCTGTGCCACTAGATGTCCTGGTTCGAATCCAGGCTCTGTCGTAGCCGGCCGCGACCGGGAGACCCATGGGGCGGCGCACAATTGGCCCAGCGTCGTCCAGGGTAGGGGAGGGAATGGCCGGCAGGGATGTAGCTCAGTTGGTAGAGGGTTTGATTCCCACGGGGGGCCAGTATGAAAAAAAAATACAAAAAATAATGTATGCACTCACTAACTGTAAGTCGCTCTGGATAAGAGCGTCTGCTAAATGACTAAAATGTAAATGTAAAAAATGGATAATGTACATTTGATAAAGCATTATGACAACTCAGTGACACAATGGAACGGATTAACTGAGCTGGTCATTGTCATGGAAACCCGCATGCCGCAACTTGTTTTCTTACCCATTTGACTGTAATGTAAATGTTTCATATTTACATCCAAATGACCACTACAGAGGATTTTGCACTTAAAATAAAAGGTAAATTAGATAATTTTTATTGGTCATGTTTTTTATCACCCCAAACACTTATGTATATAAAAGGAGTCTGCCACGCTATCTGTCTATTGATTGGACCCAGCTGTGTTGATCACTTCAGACTCTATGGAGCAGGAAGTGTACTACAGGAGCTGCTGCTGTCCTCTAGTGGTGGGAGGTGTAGAGAGAAGGAGCTGCTGCTGTCCTCTAGTGGTGGGAGGTGTAGAGAGAAGGAGCTGCTGCTGTCCTCTAGTGGTGGGAGGTGTAGAGAGAAGGAGCTGCTGCTGCCCTCTAGTGGTGGGAGGTGTAGAGAGAAGGAGCTGCTGCTGCCCTCTAGTGGTGGGAGGTGCAGAGAGGAGGAAGGAGCTGCTGCTGTCCTCTAGTGGTGGGAGGTGCAGAGCGGAGGAAGGAGCTGCTGCTGTCCTCTAGTGGTGGGAGGTGCAGAGAGGAGGAAGGAGCTGCTGCTGCCCTCTAGTGGTGGGAGGTGCAGAGAGGAGGAAGGAGCTGCTGCTGTCCTCTAGTGGTGGGAGGTGCAGAGAGGAGGAAGGAGCTGCTGCTGCCCTCTAGTGGTGGGAGGTGCAGAGAGGAGGAAGGAGCTGCTGCTGTCCTCTAGTGGTGGGAGGTGCAGAGAGGAGGAAGGAGCTGCTGCTGCCCTCTAGTGGTGGGAGGTGTAGAGAGAAGGAGCTGCTGCTGCTGCCCTCTAGTGGTGGGAGGTGTAGAGAGAAGGAGCTGCTGCTGCTGCCCTCTAGTGGTGGGAGGTGTGCAGTGCAGGGTGGTTGTGCCAATACAACCTAATGCTAAATCTACAGAACACACTTGGAATGCTTTGCTCTTCCTATTCAACTGGTGATAGCTCATCACTGTTTCTTAAAGAAACGTCACCCTTACAGAACTATATGGAGAAAATATGTACCATTTCTTGGAGTAGGTCTTATTTTAAGATGACGTTGAATTTGCTTTTGCTGAAGTACCAAAGTCTTGGGCACAAAAGGAAGACAAAATGGAAAAATCACGTGAAAGCATGAAGTCATTTTTATTCCTCTATAATGTCCCCCTCAATCAACATGTCTTTAGACGTATTTCAGCAAACTACCCATTGATAAACAAGCTCAGACCAGTTTGGTAGAAAAACAGCAGATTAAAATATAATCAACCTATAACAATTACATGTTTCACCCCCCCACCCAAAAAAGGTTATTAAATGGTTGCAACTTTACAGTTTAAGTCAGTGGTCACCAACTAGGTCGATCTCCAAGGCATCACAGAACATTTCTGTAAAAAATAAAATAAACGATAAGGCAAAGACAGTACAGTATGAATACAGGCTAAAACTGCTTCTCCAATAGAAATCTCCGATCACACTTGTAGGCGATGTCATGGCGACGTTGGCTAGCTAAGCTCATGCGCAGAAACACGTCATTGGGTCTAACCGTCGTCTGGCGCCAAACTGCGCATGTGCAGGGCCGTCAATTCAAAAGGCACTCCTTTGATATTAAGTTGTTTTTTGACAAAAAATGAAAACGTTTCAGTTTGTCACTTTCACAAGGTTCTAGTAATAACATGTTCAACTACTTAAGACATTGGCTCAAATCTAGGTTGTGCCTTTAGATTAGGAGAACATGTAGAACTAAGGAAGACTAGGTTGTGCCTTTAGATTAGGAGAACATGTAGAACTAAGGAAGACTTGTCACTTCTCTCATTGACTTCTCATACCCCAAACCCCGGCCTGGTCTGATTGGCCTGTTTCACAAGCGTTCACCGAAGCCTCGCGGTGTTGCGCCTCTGGGTTTAGAAACTCTGTGGATATATTATTATTTTTGTTTCACGCTGTTGGCGGTAGGTGCACTTGATTCAGCAGCCCTAGTGCCGGGAAGGCAACGTGTTCCCATTTTGAACCATTTCATTTCATGTGTCTGAAGGTGGAACTCCGTCTACCCGGCAGGCCCAGAGAGCAAATCAAGTGCATCTACAGGCCTACCGCTGGCCAATCAGATAGCTCAGATCACCATGTCTGCACAGTTTCCTCGAGCCATAGACTGTAAAATTAAAGCCTCGAACGCACAGCATAGTTGATACTGCTGAGATGAACATTTTTAAAACCATGACTAGAGAGAGACTCGATAAATACAGCAAAGAGCTGTTGTTTTTATGAGTAGGTTTATATGTGTTATTCAGCACTGTCAACAAGCCATAACATGTGCATTCTCCCTACTTCCACTCAAGCTACAACCAGCACTGCAGCTGTAATGAATGAGTATGGGAAAGTGTTTTGATAAGCTTGCGTTGTTATCAGTAGTGGCTTGTGTCTTTTTTTTAATATCGAGGAATATTTTACCTCCTCTGCTCATAGGAGTAACAACATGAATTGGTGCATGAGACAGAAATAATGCAGTGCATGAAGAATGTGTCCCAGTATGTGGTGATCATGTATTGGGCCTATAGCTTACTGCACAAACCTCATTGCTACAGAACTGGTTTTAATTGCTTAATGTTGCATAGACTTACATTTTTTAAAGTAATGTATTTTAAAAATCTGAGCGGTAGAGCATTTTGACTCAAAAAGTGATCTTGACTCAGAAAAGGTTGGTGACCACTGGTTTAAGAATTTCTTAAAAATGTAAAAGAATAGAGGAATAGACTGATTATACAGTGGGAAGACCTTGCAGACATTTGAAAAAAATAGAGCAAGGAAATAATATGTACTAATAATGCTGAATCTACTTTCTACCTTCTGTGCTGTCAATTGTCTTAGCACCAGTTTAGTTTGGACTTCCCAAGTAAAGGGTTTTCCTGAGGGTGGATTCCATTGTCATAATTATTTTACGGCATTCCCTTCTTTGAGTCGGCTTCCCTTCATCGACTGTGACATCTATGGTGTTTGCCACCATCTTTGCATTGGCCTGCGGGTTCACAAATGGAAGTATGATCACTACATACAGGCTGGAAATCATTTGTTGCAGATTTGGGTTTTTAGAAGTGTCATTGATTTGTATAATGTGTTCTGGTTTATTTTTTGGTGTTGTATGTAAACATTGGAGGAATCAAATTTTATACGTTGAGTTATGAAAGAAAAACACAGTTGTGAGGTATTTTTTTAGGTTATATTCTTCAAGAATCAACAGGTAATATCAAGAAATTGAAATGACCATTGAACAGATTCCCCAGATACCTAATTATAGCTTTTAACAATGAATAGAAAAGTTGCCAAAAACACTGTACCTTCACAAACAAGTTATAGAGATGTTCTCCTGCTGCATCAGGTGAGGAAAACACTTGACTAATGTTGTAAATCATGTGTGATCCAGAGGTGCTGTCCATCACGCCCACATAATCTATAAGAAGAACATTATCTGTCAATGACTTGTTCTTTTGCAGAACTTTTAGAACACTTGTTTGTTTACACACACAGTACCAGTCAAAGGTTGGACACACCTACTCATTCCAGGGTTTTTCTTTATTTTTTACATTGCAGAACAATAGTGAAGACATCAAAACTATAAAATAACACATATGGAATCACGGAGTAACCAAAAAAAAAGTGTTAAAACAAATCAAAATATATTTGAGATTCTTCAAAGTAGCCACCTTTTGCCTTGATGACAGCTTTGCACACTCTTGGCATTCTCTCAACCTGAACAAACCTCGAAAACTAAATCAAGAGAGAAACCAAAGCCTGCAACTGTCTTTTTTTAAATGTCTTTTTTTTTAAACAAACAAAAAATATATAGCTCTTGAAAAATATCCAAGCATTCACACAAGTACAATTACCTGTCATGGCTGCATATGCAACCAGCATGTCGTTGATGCATGGTGGCACTCGAGTGGACCGGTACTCTTTTGTAGCCATGGCTTCCTTTGATCGTTTTTCATCAGCAGCAGAATCAAATATAACTCCAGTATCACGGTTGCCTTTAAACATAAAACATGGCAAGACAGTTAGTCTACATAAATCAGATAATAAACGTAGGTGTAGTTTCATGATTATAGATTTGCGAGGTGACTGAGGGGGGGTCAGTCAGGTGGTTACGTAAAGACGTCAGTATAATGTAGTTTAGGATCGATCAGGATGGTCTGAAATGGCTTGTCACTTTTAAATTCATCCATGAACTTTTTACTGGTTGTACGTGCTGTTGGTCCTTTTAGCTGTAGGAGGTGGAGATGGAGTTGACAAGAAAGTGTTTATTTTCCACAACTTTCATTTTCTGTCAGTTGTATTTTCAACCTGTTGACCCATTGCACGTGATGCACAATATGTAAACAATAGCTCAATGTAACCGAACGTAGTTGACCAAAGCACGTTTCCTAGCAATCAGCACAAAGTGTTTGCCGTTCGGTCTGTGGTTCAGTTAGGTTCGGCCATATTGTGCAAGTGTTTTTTTTCTACGTGCGAATTGCATCAGTATTGAAAATACATTGAACAAAAATATAAATGCGGCATGTTGGTCCCAGGACCTCCCACAGACCACGTGTAACCACGCCAGCCCAGGACCTCCACATCCGGCTTCTTCACCTGCGGGATCGTCTGAGACCAGCCACCCGGACAGCTGATGAAACTGTGGGTTTGCACAACCAAAGAAATTCTGCACAAACTGTCAGAAACCGTCTCAGGGAAGCTCATCTGCGTGCTCGTCGTCCTCACCAGGGTCTTGACCTGACTGCAGTTCGGTGTCGTAACCGACTTCAGTGGGCTAATGCTCATCTTCGATGGGCCACTGGCATGCTGGAGAAGTGTGCTCTTCATGGATGATTCCCGGTTTCAACTGTCCCGGGCTGATGACGTCATGTACAGCACCATGTGGGTGAGCGGTTTGCTGATGTCAGCGTTGTGAACAGAGTGCCCCCTGGTGGCGGGGGGGTTATGGTATGGGCAGGCATAAGCTATGGACAACAAACACAATTACATTTTATCGATGGCAATTTGAATGCACAGAGATACCGTGACGAGATCCTGAGGCCCATTGTCGTGCTATTCATCCGCCGCCATCACCTCATGTTTCAGCAATGATAATGCACGGCACCATGTCGCAAGGATCTGTACACAATTCCTGAAAGCTGAAAATGTCCCAGTTCTTCCATGGCCTGCATACTCACCAGACATGTCACCCATTGAGCATGTTTGGGATGCTCTGGATTGACGTAGTGTTCCAGGTCCCACCAATATCCAGCAACTTCGCGCAGCCATTGAAGAGGAGAGGGACAACATTCCACAGGCCACAATGTGTCACGCTGCATGAGGCAAATGGCAGTCACACCAGATACTGACTGGTTCTGATCCACGCCCCTAGCTTTTTTTGTTTGTTTTTTTTAAATCCATTTTTCAAGGTATCTGTGACCAACAGATGCATATCTGTATTCCCAGTCGTGAAATCCATAGATTAGGGCCTAATTAATTCATTTCCTTATATGAACTCTATCTCAGTAAAATCGTTGAAATTGTTGCATGTTACATTTATATTTTTGTTCAGTGCTGTATACTGCGTACTGAAGGTAACATTTCCGTGTGGATATTATTTCAGATTACCTCCTACATAGGGACAAAAATCGTCAGACAACAGGTAAAGTAAGTTGAAATGAAGTTTGTTTCAACATTCTGACTTGTAATGGGACTGTTTTGGAATGCTGAGCCAACATGTTGGAGACGAGTGTGTAAATATTTCACCCTCAGATTCTAAAAGAGGCTAGGTTGAGATCACAAAATGTACTGATCTAGGTAGGAAAGTGTAAACGTACTCCCCCTGCAGGCATCTATGATGAAGATCTTAGGTTTCCCCTTCATCTTGCGACACAGCTCGTCTCCAAACGGTTCGATTATATCTTTTACTGGCAGCCTCTTTTTATCTGCACCTATGATGACATCCCGATGTCCGTGAGACGAAGTCACCACAAACACACAGCTGATGTCTCCACTGCTGCTGTTGACGCCGTTTCTGAAGTCTATCACCTCCTGCTTCATTTCCTGAATGGAATAATACATTGATCAATCAATGAGATCATGTTTAAAAAATATATACTTATTTGATTGATTGTGTAAATGGTGTAACATAACTTTCCATTGTCATACCTGAGCTGTTTTGTCGAGTACAATGTGATACTGGAAACCAAACCGCTTAAAGAACTTCTCCATTGTTTGACGGTCGACTTCAATACCGCACCGGTTTTCCTTCATCTTCTCCTTGTCCCGGACACATAGCAATAACGCTCTGTGTTCTCCCCTCATGTCATAACTTCCAGGCCTCTGTTAGACAACAAAAACCAACATTCTGCATCAGAAGACATGTGAAATGATTTTAGGATAAATAATTGTACTTGCAGTGATGTGGGTTAGTGGTGCAATGATTCCATTCATTATTTAATTTCCTCGTACTAAAGTTGTGGCATAACACTTCAACTGTGATGAGCACGGAGTATATGAAGTGACAGGATGCAGACACAGGAATTAACAAGGTCGAGGTTTAAATAATGAGAAAGATAAATAAAAGATAGCGTAAACGACGCTTAACAATCACACACACACACACAACACAGAACAGTCCAGGGCTAAATAGGGGTGGTGATGAGATGATCCGGTGAAGGGGTGACGTGACGATGTGGAATGACAGCTCCTTGTGGTGCTCCGGTAGTGTGGGAATGGTGATGGGGAGAGTGACGTGCGTAATGGTGCCTGACCCAAAAGGGTTTATTGTCCAGTGAGGTGACGTGTAGCGGAGATGGCAGTGGCACGGTGGGCAACCCACATTCAGAGACCAGCTCCCTATCTATAAGGTTCCTCGCTGATCCGGAATCTGTCATTGCAGTAGAAATGGAAGAGAAGGCATAACCAGTCGCCGTTATGGGAACTAAAAACAATGGTTTTGTGATAGGAGATGACGTGACACTCACGGGAGTCATACCGCCTAGATAGGGGGCCGTCATGGGATCTGTGGTCCATGGGTGAGGACTCGGAAGCAGGGCGGCTTCCATAGCTCAGATGGGGTGAGAGTCGAGGCTCCGGGAGGTGTTGGGAACGCCGTCTCTCTCTCTCTCTCTCTCTCTGTCTCTCTCTCAACATGTCGTCAAGACAGATGGACGTGGTGATGAGGGTATCAAGGTCCATCTCGTCGTCCCGACATGCGAGTTCCGTCTAAAGAATCGCACAGAACAGTCCAGGGCTACATAGGGGTGGTGATGAGGTGCAGGTGCGCTGGAGGTAATTTGTATTTATTTATTATTTAACCTTCATTTAACTAGGCAAGTCAGTTAAGAACACATTCTTATTTACAATGACGGCCTACACCGGCCAAACCCGGACGACGCTGGGCCAATTGTGCGCCGCCCTATAGGACTCCCAATCACGGCCGGTTGTGATAAGCACTGAGATGCAGTGCCTTAGGGTGCGTTGGGTTTCCATTCCGGTGTTGCCGAGGTGGTGCGCTCAGACCGGTGGCTCAGTAGACCAGCGAATCAGAGCGCCGGAGGGGAGCAACGGGAGGAGACGTGACATCAACTCTTTATTTACAACTGACTGGGAAGTCAATTTTCAAATCTGTCAGGACTGTATAATAGTGAATGAATTGACACTCTCCCTGGGGGAAGGTACTGATTAGTAATTGGAATTTTAAAAATCAACTCACCCTTTGCTTTATTTAGTCAATAGAGTCAACTCACCATTTGCCTTTCCATGTTGTCCACAAGAGTGTTGTTTCAAATTTTCACTCTCAATGTTTGTGTCTTTTCACCTACACACGCCGCGTCAGGAAAGTTCAGGTACTTTCCAAAGACTTGGAACTTCCCCCGACCTTAATTAACAGCAGTAAACCACTCATATAAAGTCTCTGCTGTAAACAATTCACACCCATTCAGTTTCAGTATGAGTGCTTGTTGTTATGCTTGGCTTGAAGCCAATATTATTACCCTGTCCTCTTTGCATGATACGGGTCTTATTGAGAGATACAGTGCCTTCAGAAAGTATTCGTACCCCCTTGATTTATTCCACATTTTGTTGTGTTACAGACTGAATTCAAAATTGATTAAAATGTTTTTTTGTCTCTCTCTCACCCATCTACACACACAATACCCCATAATGACAAAGTGAAAACATGTTTTTAGATGTTTGCAAATGTATTGACAATTAAATACAGAAATATCTCATTTACAAAGGTATTCACACCCCCTGAGTCAATATGTGTTAAATTCACCTTCGTCAGTGATTACAGCTGTGAGTCTTTCTGGGTAAGTCTCTAAAGAGCTTTACACACCTGTATTGTACAATATTTGCACGTTATTATTTTTTTAATTCTTCAAGCTCTGTCAAGTTGGTAGTTGATCATTGCTAGACAGCCATTTTCATGTCTTGCAATAGATTTTCATGCCAATTTAGGTCAAAACTGTAACTAGGCCACTCAATAACATTTCAATGTCGTCTTGGTAAGCAACTCCAGTGTATATTTGGCCTTGTGATTTAGGTTATTGTCCATCATCTGAACTGGCCTTCAGCATTTACTATTACATCCCATTGAGACTGTTTTTCTAAAGCATTCTGGGTTTGTTGCAAAACGTATGAGTATCCTCCCGCATATTCATATGTACATTGCAAATGCAACAATAATCAAATGAGAAACCAATTTTAACCAATCTTAGATTGGTACATACATTTTTCGACTTCTACATTTAAAACAATCATTTTCAACCCATGGATGGTTAGTTGTAGCATCCATAGCTATGCATTTGAGAGTGGTTAATGCATATTATTATTATTAAGTTTCTCCTGCCCCAATCCCTTAGATGTTAACCATAACAAGTGGCACGGTGACCTATACTAATTGAAATTAGATTTTTGTGTCTAAGCCTTTTCACATTTAACACAGGCGTTGTAAAAGTTCATCATTGTTTTGGGGAAAATATCTGCATTCATATTTCAAGTCATTACAAAAGTTATGTCATCAAGGTGAAAGAGGGTTGTGACACACTGTCACTATGACACACCCACTAATATGCAAAGTGTGTTCTTGTTCTAGCCTAGAATAGCCTCTGAGCTGTTTTGAGATCGATCTTTTTTGACTAGGTGCCGTTAGTGTGGAATCACTTTTGTTTTTCGATCTCTTAAAAAGTCAGCACTCAACACAAGAGCCGTATTGTTTAGGCTGAGAGCCAGGCTTCAAAATGGACAGATATGATTTAAGTGGCAAACGTGCAGCCTTGATAATGTGCGGTGGGGGTAGACCGGGCGCTGAGTATGACGTTAAAAGAATAAAGGAGTTCTGCAAACAGAATAAGTTTCCTGAATCTAGTTATACGGTTAAATGCAAAACCAAAGAGGTAAGTTACGTTATATTCAATTCAGTGTTTTCTGTGAACAGGCAATCAATAACACTCTGATTGCAATAATTACTATTCAGAGAGGGGTAAACACTAACTAAGCTAACTTACGCTCAAGTCGAAAACAGCTTATTTCCTACTGAAGTTTCATCTAACTAGGCCCAGCATGAATGTTATCACTTATTATTGAGTTCAAGGACATAGACGTATTTTCCAGCTCGTGTCATTGACCTCTGATCAACCTTTATCTAACTCTACTTAACAACAACAAGGGAAACAAAACAACTAATAAAAAAAACAAAAAGTATGTAGAGGCGTAGTGCATGAAACTAAAACAGTGTTTACATTAGCGTCCATCATCTGAACTGGCCTTCAGCATTTACCATCACATCCCATTGAGACTGTTTTTCTAAAGCATTCTGGGTTGGTTGCAAAACGTATTAGTATCCCCACGCATATTCATATGTACATTGCAAATGCAACAATAATCAAATGAGAAACCAATTTTAACCAATCTGGGATTGGTACATACATTTTTCAACTTTTACTTTTAAAACAATCATTTTGATCCCATGGATGGTTAGTTGTTCAAATCAAATTGTATTTGTCACATGTGCCGAATACAACAGGTGTAGACCTTACAGTGAAATGCTTACTTACAAGCCATAGCTATGCATTTGAGAGTGGTTACATTTCTCCTGCCCCATCCCTTAGATGTTTACCATAAGAAGTGGCACGGTGACCTATACTAATTGAAATTAGATTGTGTGTCTAAGCCTTTTCACATTTAACACAGGCATTGTAAAAGTTCATCAATGTTTTGGGGAAAATATCTGCGTTCATATTTCAAGTCATGACAAAAGTTAAAAGAGGGGATCGCCCATAAGGTGTGACACACTACCGCTATGACGCAACCAGTCAGACTGTATGTCACTACAAAGATGTCTTCTGGTTCAGTTCACTATAGAGCCTCCGAGGTGTTTTGAGACGTTGTTCACTAGGTTAAGAACGCCATGTTTGTGTCCTTTTGTCTACATCTGTGTCAGGAGTGGATATTTCAGGTACTTTCCACAGACAGTGCTCAGCACCTCCCCCTCAGTTTCAATATCAATGTTTGTTGTTATTTTTTGGCTTGAAGCCGATATAATGTCACCATCTGTTCTTCAAAAGCATGATAAGGGGGGAGTTTGGTGACATTTCCATTGTGGAACAGAGGAATAGTGCTGTTTTGGTAATAGATGTTGGATGAGAGGTGTTCTTTGAAAACAGTGTACTGGAACAAACAAACAGCTAGTGTGACAACCTGGTCTCACAGCATTTCGTATTATTCTGTACATAAATCCGAGACTGTCACACCCTGGCTCTGGGGACTCTGAAATGTTGAGCCAGGGTGTGTAGTTTTGTTGTTATATTTTCTATGTTGATGTTCTAGATCGTTTATATCTATGTTGGCCAGGGTGGTTCCCAATCAGAGGCAGCTGTAGCTTGTTGTCTCTGATTGGGGACCATACTTAGGCAGCCGTTTGGCACTAGTCGGTGTGGGATCTTGTTCCGTTAAGGTTTGTTTTGTGTAACCTAGGACTTCACGTATCGTTTGTTTGTTGTTTTGGGTCGTGTTAAGTACTAAATAAAATATACGCTTATCACGCTGCGCCTTGGTTCCACGAGTCATTAAACGATCGTGACAGAAGATCCCACCAAAAGAGGACCAAGCAGCGTGTCCAGGAACAGACAGCCTGGACCTGGGAGGAGATCCTGGACGGGAAGGGATCCTGGACTTGGGAGGAGATTCAGGCCGGAATGGATCGCCGTCCTTGGGAGGAGACTGTGGAGGCGCGCTATAGAGAGGAGCAGCGGCAACGCAGAGGGTACCGGCCGAGGAGGAAGCCCGAGAGACAGCCCCAATAAAACAAATTGGGGGGGCTAAAAGGGTGGTTGGCGGAGCCTAGGGTTAGAGCAGAGCCAACTCCCCGTACTCAGGCTAGGAAGCGTGTGACTGGGCAGGCTCCGTGTTATGCGGTGCCACGTACTGTGCCGCGAGTGTTCCGGCACAGTCCTGTACGTCCTGTGCTAGCACCACGCACGTGTCGTGCAAAGATGGGCATGCAGCCAGGACGGGGTGTGCCGGCTCAATGCTCGTGGCCTCCAGTACCCCTCCTCGGTCCCGGATATCCTGTGCCAGTGCCACGTGCTGTAGCGCCAGTACGAGTGCACAGCCCCGTACGTCCTGTGCTGATGCCTCACGCGTATTGTGTGGAAGTAGGCATTCAGCCAGGACGGGTTGTGTCAGCTCTCCGCTCCAGACCTCCAGTTCGCCTCCACAGTCCGGCCCGGCCCGTTCCGGCTCCCCGCACCAAGCCAGTGGTGCGTGTTCCCAGTCCAGCCCGGCCTGTTCCGGCTCCCCGCACCAAGCCAGTGGTGCGTGTTCCCAGTCCGGTCCGGCTTGTTCCTGTCCCTCGCGCCAAGCCAGTGGTGCGCGTCGCCAGTCCGAACCGGCCTGTTCCTGCACCTCGCACCAAGCCAGTGGTGCGCGTCGCCAGCCCGGTCCGGCCTGTTCCTGCTCCCAGCACCAAGCCAGTGGTGCACTGTCACGCCCTGGCTCTGGGGACTCTGAAATGTTGAGCCAGGGTGTGTAGTTTCGTTGTTATATTTTCTATGTTGATGTTCTAGATCGTTTAGATCTATGTTGGCCAGGGTGGTTCCCAATCAGAGGCAGCTGTATCTCGTTGTCTCTGATTGGGGACCATACTTAGGCAGCCGTTTGGCACTAGTCTGGGTGGGATCTTGTTCCGTTAAGGTTTGTTTTGTGTAACCTAGGACTTCACGTATCGTTTGTTTGTTGTTTTGTGTCGTGTTAAGTACTAAATAAAATGTACGCTTATCACGCTGCGCCTTGGTTCCACGAGTCATTAAACGATCGTGACAGAGACTCTCTATATAGTATGATATGTTAAGTTTCGTATGGTATGTATTAATTTGTGAATGCCCATCACCTATTTTATGATATGTTACAAATTACAATTCATATTATATGTTATGAATTTGCGAAACGTACAATATGTTACGAATTTGCAAAACATATATGTTATGAATTCTAGCTAGCTTGGAACTAGCATTAGCTAGCTGGCTAATGTTGGCTAGGCTAAGGGTTAGGGGTTAGGGTTAAGGTTAGGAGTTAGGTTAAAGGGTTAGGGGAAAGGTTAGCTAAAAGGGTTAGGGTTAGGGGAAGGTTTAGCTAAAATGGTTAAGGTTAGGGTTTGGGGAAGGTTTAGCTAACATGCTAAGTAGTTCCAAGGTAGCTAAAAAGTAATAAGTAGTTAAAAAGTTGCTAATTAGCTAAGATGCTAAAGTTGTCCGTGATGCGATTCAAACGTTTGGGTTATACGCCCACCCATCCACCCCAACTTACCACCTTACTTTCGTTTTTGCCTTAAGTAACCATCTGTCTTATGTTGTCATACCAAACATAAGCTATCATATCAATTTGAGTGTCACATCTTTTTCGTTTACTATGTTACGTCTAGTCTATGAGACCAGGCTTAGTGTGAGCAATGCAAATGAATGAGAGGTAAAATAATAACAATAATAATAATACATCGATAAGGGAGAGAAAAGCATTACAAAGAATGAACACAACATCTATTCTATTGTTTTACTATAGACCATGTTGTTGTTCTTTTAACCCCCTAGGACTTAAGAGTAATTGGTGCTGAAATCAATACTTTTTTGTTAACCAAAGGATTTGAAAGAAAACAAACATTTGAACCCAGGTCTGGAATCTCATTCCCTGCTGTATTTGACAAATTTCAGGACGTAACTGATGCACTGAAGTCATTTCGAGACAACCTGAGCGGTGACGTCAGTTGCCTCGCAATGTTTATCATGGCCCATGGTGCACTTGGACACATTGAAGTCAATGATGAAGAGGTTCTGGATCTAGAGGAAATCTACCAGATGTTTAACAACAGCCAGTGTCCAGCCCTCCGTGAGAAACCAAAGCTCTTCGTTGTGCAAGCCTGTAGGGGAGGTGTGTCTCTTTACATATTGGTGTTTGAAAGCTTGTGATCTTTTTTTACATTGCTGGTATAATGTTTATTGATAAATACACCATTTGTCTCTATTTACTGTATTTATTTTCAGTGAAGGGACGTCCTAAAGACCCTTACACGGATGGAGGTAGATCTTCTGGTGCGTTCTCAAAAAGGTTGCTTCCCACCGAGTCTGACTCCATGGAAGTGTATGCAGTACCTCCAGGTTAATTCTTTCACATAACTGAGTAGGCTATATCCTTCATGTAATAATGTAATGTCCATTTTTTTAGTAACCTCTTCTCTTTTTTTTATCACAGGAAAACTTGCCATCAGACACCCGGACAGAGGATGCCCATTGTTTGAAGAGATGCACAAAGTGTTTACTAAGGATTCAGTCGTTAACCATGATGTGTATGAACTCTTCACAGAGGTCAGTACGGTTGATGGAGAAACATGCTCATAAAGTCACATTTAAAGGGGTTACGTTGTATTATTATTATTATTATTTTTGAATCTCTTTCCAGGTGAACCGACGGCTGGGTCAAAGGAAGGATGGTAGAAAGGACGGATATGAACATGATTTCATGCCAACATTAGGAGGCATCAACAGAAACACATCGCCAGTAGAATCATCTGATGATATAGGGCGCTCTCTTCAAATCGTGACCAATCTGACCAAAAAGTTGTACCTCTGATAGGGAGATGGGAGGAGGAGGGAGAAGGCTATAGGCACCTTTTGAATACAGTATACTTCGGTTCAAAGGGACATTCACTTTTGAATGGCAAGATTGCTGCCAGTATATATTGATTTATAGCCTTCCCTCTGATCAGGATATATTAATAGTTTAAGCCACTAAGAGTGAAATATTGAAAATAATGGACCTGGGCCCGGTTTCCCAAAAAGCATCTTAAGGTTTTGTTTACCTTAAGCCGTGTTCACATTGGCAGTTTAAAGTGACTTTCTATCTTCCTAGATCTTTTCTCCATCTTGGCAGTGCCATTAATCACCATAGCGATAAAGGCCACCTTCTTAACCTTTAAAATGTCAGGGTCATCTTGGTGCAACCCCTGCAGCTTGTATTGAAGGCCTATCCACCACCATGGACTCTTCAGGAGCACCGTTCAAACCCTCAACCCTTTGAACCGCTGCTGCATAGGAAATGCTCTGTACAACCCTAACTTTGGCAACCTCCTTTTCTTTCACCCTTTGTCGGGGCATTCAAAAGACGTGGCTTCATGGTTCCCACGACAACTGCAACATTTCACTTTTTCATCACTTTTATATAACACTTTAAATGATATTTTCCACAACTTGGACATCTCGGGTTTCTCCCGTCTGCAAACCCTTGACACATGACCAAAAGCTTTACAGTGAACACATTGCATTGGTCTTGGAATAAATGCTCTGACTTTGTAGTTTATATACCCCAACTGCACTTGAGTAGGGAGAGACTCCATATCAAAAAACAAAAGAACAGATAAACTCTTCACTTTTTCATCATTCACCACTCGATTTATCAAACGTGCATCCCCCCTTGAGGGGTGCCGTGTTCCGAAGAGACACACACGACACTTCAAACTTTTCAAATCGGGATGAGCCGCAACACACGTTCCTTCTGATCCGCAGAAGTACCGAAAAATCACAACAAACCCGCCTCTCGTGATCCTCACATCCTTCACTTTACCCATCACTAGCTCCACCAGTTTGGATAGCTGAAATGGATTCTTCAAGATTGGTATTTCGATAAGCTGCTCCTCATTAACAAGCCTTACAAGATATAAAGGGACATTCTCTTTACTGTACTCTACTTTGCTCCTTTTTCCATTATTTTGAACAATACTCCAATCCTCCTTGATTCTACCGCCATTAGATTCACAATCCAGTTCATCGTCCGCCTCCTCCATCATTTCCCTGTCACGTCCCATTGCTAAGTTGCTAGCTAGCAGACATCCTAGTTAGCTGCCTCTCTTCCCGAGTTCCTGGTTCGCTCGAAATGATTGAATAACATGTATGTGTACATTTATTTTGCCACGTTAATTATCCTAAGCAGCTACGTTAATTCTCCTAACCTGCTATGTTAATTCTCCTAAGCAGCTACATTAATTATCCTAACCTGCTACGTTAATTCTCCTAAACAGCTACGTTAATTCTCCTAACCTGTGTGGGAAATTATTCTCTTATATTTTAGATGTGCTGTTAGCTTAATAAGAAAGCATTCATGATTAAACATAAAAGGTTTGTACTGTACTGATATAGACTGTTTAACATAACAAGCTGTGATTAATGTGAGGAGCTGTTAGGGAGTAGGGTGAGATAAGGCTTGTGACTCACACTGCCTCTTTGTTGAACCGTCCAAGGACGTAGGTACAAAGAGTACAGTTAGGGTGGGAAAGTACAGGGGAACTGTGTCTATGGGGGCTGACTCTCTGGACAAGTTGCAAAACAACCAACACCTGGCAACAGTGAAGCGCCAAGGGGCTGGGACCAGCCTGTGCGCCAACGATAGGCTGAGTAAGTCTAAACCACGCTCAGTCTCTACTCTGATTGGCCAGCAGGGAGCGGGAACTATCTCTGTCAGAGTATTTAAAGAAGAACTTATAACAATGGATCAGTTCTCTGAGTGCCCTGCGTGGTATTTCAGTGGACCCGTATATACGAACATCATATTTACCATTGAAGTGTTTTGCATTAATTAAAATACTAGTCTATTATAGAAGACGTGTATTGACCTCTTTTTGTTCCAATACCAGATTTGAATTGACGCAACTTAACATAGACTTCCCCAAAATAACATGGTCGCTGTGGTAGAAAGTTTATTTTGAATGGCGATTTTGTGCATGTATCAAAATCCCATCAGGTAGCCCGATTTCAGATGTGTCATGTAAACGAGATTATTAGGGAAATGGTTCTTCTTGCACAGCTTGTAAACGTTAAATATCAAACGATTATATATCAAATCACACTACTCAGTGCCGGCCGTGTTCCTATTGGTCAGTCACCGGGATCGGCTTGTAACACCAGCCACATTAAACGATAAAGGCAAACAAAAAAAGACACTGACATAACTTTGTCTCAGCTATAAGAGGTGGTTGTTTTCTTGTTGTTTCTTCAATAAAGGTTTGATGAAAACCATTAACACAAAAAACGAGAGTTGGTCAAACTTAAAAATCTCTATCTATTAGTTGTCCCCAGATGTGTTAATAACTTCACTCTTCTTCTTCTTTGGTATATCATGGCGTTCACACATTTGTTTGTACATCCCGCCACCTACTGTTCAGTAACGTGTAGTAGATCAAGTTACATTTTGTGATAAAAAATAACTAAAAAGGAAGGGGGAAAGGAATGCACCACCAACTAACATATATTTATACACTATTACATATACCACATTAACAGATACCAAGATACACATCGATAGGAAACCACCAAAACAACTAAATAGCACACCAACGAAACAGCGGGGAGGGACCAAATTACAACCAACTACACATCAATACACCTCACAACACACAAAACGAACACATCACATATACAACGAACATGACACCAACTAACACTATACCATCAACCAAACTAACATCAATATACCACTATTACATACCACCAACTAACATCTATAACCCCTATTACATACCACCAACTAACATCTATATACCACTATTACATACACACCAACTAACATCTATATACCACTATTACATACCACCAACTAACATCTAATACCACTATTACATATCACCAACTAACATCTATAACCACTATACATACCACCAACTAACATCTATACAACCACTATTACATACACCAACAACATCTATAACCACTATTACATACCACCAACTAACATCTATATACCACTATTACATACCACCAACAACACTCTATAACCACTATTACATACACCAACTAACATCTATACCACTATTACATACACCAACTAACATCTATACACCACTATTACATACCACCAACTAACATCTATATCCACTATTACATACCACCAACTAACATCTATATACCACTATTACATACCACCAACTAACATCTATATACCACTATTACATATCACCAACTAACATCTATATACCACTATATCTTATACCACTATACATATCACAACTAAACATCTATACACACTATACATTACCACCAACTTAGAACATCTATATACCACTATAATATCACCACGGACTAACATCTAAATACCCACCTTTACATACCACCAACTAACAATACACTACCAGTTACACTACGTTCAAGTTTGGGGGTCACATAGAAATGTCCTTGTTTTCGAAAGAAAAGCATTTTATGTCCATTAAAATAACATCAAATTGATCAGAAATACAGTGTAGACATTGTTAATGTTGTAAATGGCTACTGTAGCTGGAAACGGCTTATTTTTTATGGAATATCTACATAGGCGTACAGAGGCGCATTATCAGCAACCATCAGTCCTGTGTTCCAATGGCACATTGTGTTTGCTAATCCAAGTTTATCATTTTAAAAGGCTAATTGGAAAATTAGAAAACCCTTTTGCAATTATGTTAGCACGGCTGAAAACTGTTGTGCCGATTAAAGAAGCAATAAAACTGGCCTTCTTGAGACTAGTTGAGTATCTGGAGCATCAGCAATTGTTGGTTCGATTACAGGCTCAAAATGGCCAGAAACAAATAACTTTCTTCTGAAACTCGTCAGTCTATTCTTGTTCTGAGAAATGAAGGCTATTCTATGCGAGAAATTGCCAAGAAACTGAAGATCTCGTACAACGCTGTGTACTACTCCCTTCAGAGAACAGCGCAAACTGGCTCTAACCAGAATAGAAAGAGGAGTGGGAGGCCCCGGTGCACAACTGAGCAAGAGGACAAATACTCAGACTCCTGTGATTGGAGTTGAAAGGAGTCGACTCTTGCTCGACTCCTACACCTGTGGTTGGAGTCGTAGGAGTGGAATCTTGCTCAACTCCCAAAACACACTGAAACGGATGCGCACAACAGTGGAGGCTCCTCAGAGGAGGAAGGGGAGGGCCATCCTCTTCAGTGAATTTCATAAAAATTACAATTGTAAAAACATTGAAAAGTTATCCTTTTTAGATAAAGCTATACTAAATATATTCACGTCACTAAATAATTGATTAAAACACACTGTTTTGCAATGAAGGTCTACAGTAGCCTCAACAGCACTCTGTAGGGTAGCACCATTGTGTAGCCGGAGGACAGCTAGCTTCCGTCATCCTCTTGGTACACTGACTTCAATACAAAACCTAGGAGGCTCTTGGTTCTCACCCCCTTCCATAGACTTACACAGTAATTATGACAACTTCCGGAGGACGTCCTCCAACCTATCAGAGCTCTTGCAGCATGAACTGACATGTTGTCCACCCAATCAAAGGATCAGAGAATGAATCTAGTGCTGAAAGCATAAGCTACAGCTAACTAGCACTGCAGTGCATAAAATGTGTGGTGAGTAGTTGATTCAAAGAGAAAGACAATAGTTGAAAAGTTTTCAACAAGTTAATTTCTTCAAAAATGAAGGAGAAGCAAGAGAGAGAGAGAGATAGAGAGAGAGAGTGATTGTATATTTTTTTCACTGGGAGTTTCACTTACTTAGCTAGCAATTGCAGCTGGCTAGTTTTCCTACCCAAACACCCGGCTCAAACAGAGGGATGCTATGTTAGCTAGCTGGCTATGACTTTACAACACAACACTGGAACTCTTCCAAGTCAAGGTAAGCTTTTGGTATTACTAATTTATTGCCACTGGGGCCCGCCGGTGTAACTGCATACTGACTGTACACTAACATTACTGCATGATTGTAGCGGGTTTACTAACGCGTTTGTTCTATTAGCTATGTTGACTAGGAAGTTACTTTAGCTAATATGGGGACAACGATATTGACTGTGTGTAGCGGTTATGACATGGTTTGGAAAGGTTTTTTCACCTGGTCACATACA